TTATAAAAAGACAATGCAAATTCACTTACTTAATGTGGTATGTCTCTGAAACAAAGCTCGGTAGTGCTCTTAAGTTTAAACAGAAAAGAGAGTTAACTTTCTATATATATATATATACATAGTACATACACATATCGGTGAAGATTCTGTTCTCCAGTAATTTCAAAGTAGCTTTTTACCTTTAAATGGCAATGCTTTCTAGGCGCTGCACAATGGGACTACAGCGGCCAAAAGTAGTAAAAACGGATTAGCGAATTCTGAAAAAGTAATTACGCAGATTCGGAGTAAAAAATCTAACCCAAACCAAAAAAAGAATATTTGCAGTCATGGGACGAGCTTAAATTAGATACAATTCAAAAAAATAAGTTTGTAAGAAAAATTTTAATTTTGTCGGAAGTAATTAAACAAATTTTTCTACTTGTGCGGATATATAATAATCTGAATATATCTGTGGTCAAGCATTGCTTTAAATTTTTATATATGTATCTAGTGAATTTTGTAAGACAGTTTCATTTTGAATTCTGCGTAATTTTGTGAGTGGAAAATTTTTCGACTCCTAACTTTATAAAGGGTTATTCAAAAAGGCCCTAGGAAGCGAGCTAATTTGTACTTAGGACAAGTACCTAAATCTTAGATATGTGTGTCATATCGGAAATAGTCCCATCTGCTAGGTATTGCGAGCTAAGCTTCTATTCTTCTTTTTGTGGACACACCTCCTGTAAAGTTTATAAATTTTTTTTTTGTGGAGCTGAAGGAAAACTTTACGATATGTACATAAAATAAATATATGCATGATAAAATGGAAATGGAAGATGGTGTAGATATTAACGACTCGCAAATCTAGCAGCATTCAGCCAAAAGTATACGCTTCTCCGGACGAGATCCGGTTGCGAGTCTTTCTTGTAAATAGCTTTTATTACATTTCGTCTTGTTCTGGAGCAAGAAAGATTTTCAGCTTATATTCTGGAGAATTACAGAATCTTTCGTCAATTTTTGTAACTGTTCACGAGCCTTCAGGTTTAAATTTATACAGAGCAGTGGCATCCTCCCTACAGCGCTATTCAAGATTTCGTTGTCTAGAATGACTTTCAACTAGTTTACTAATTTGATTTTAAGTTACTCTAGTTTTTCTTTTAAGCAGAGATCTGCAAAAGAATTTACCAAATAAATAGCAGCAATATAAGCTGCTGTTATTTAAGTGCTTGTCAAAGAACTGCACAAACTCATTCATTTACGATTCGAAGTTACTTGTAAAACACAAAAATGCAAGTATAATTAATGACTGTTCGAACTCACCGCTTTAGTAAAAATACCAGTAAATATGACAAGGTTGTAATTGAAAATCTACAAGCTTTTCGATAACTCGTTAGACATATATTTCGTGCTCTTTTACCAATTCGCAATAAGTCAGCTCATATATATGATACAAGTAGGAGCAGGAGATGTAACCAAAAATTTCCGAAATAAACCAGCCTTTGCTTGCTTGAACCATTTTAAGCATTGATGACGCAAATGAAACTCTAAAAACCTTGAAACTTAGTTAGCCTGTCGCAGTTCTCTGGCGTTAGTAAATAAAATCCTTGCTCTTAATTTAATTACATTTTTATTTATTTATTCGTTCATTGTATAAATTGTTGGTATTAATATACATACAAAAATAATATTACAGTGTGGCAGAATAAAACGTGTCTCTAATAGGTAATAAATATTTACAAGAGCGACGACAATGGTAAGACGTATTCAAAAAAAAAGTGATAAGTAGCAGAAAGTAAAATAAAATGTAAAAGAACATATTTCAATAACCTAAAAATTCTATGTAAAAATACAAAAAACATATTCTGAGTATTTTCGATTTTTCAAAATACAAATGCAGCTGAGCTAAAGCATCGAAATTAAAACTAAGAAAAAACTTTTATTTAATTGATTTTCTTTTTTTAATTTTTATCGCACAATAAATTTGCTTGAGAGTACTTAAAAATATTAACTAAAATTAAAAATAGCAAATAAAATAATAAACAAATTAAATACAAAAATCATTAAGAAATAAAATAACCAAAAATAGTGAAAGTAAAAAGTACGAGTATTTCGCTTGATTCAGCAGTTATTGCGAAGTATTCGTTCGGCGAGTAGACATCAAACGCGACTGACAATTGGCGACAGACCTCAATTCCCACCGTGGCAGTGTGCAGCAGCCATGCTTCAACCAACTATGTATGCACTACTCCCCTTCTCGCCTGCTTTATCGTCTGCTAGTGAATTTCGAGGCCAATGAGTATAATGACTTGAGCAGCTCCAGGGCGCGTTCATCCGAATTCGAGCTGGTGCTACTACCGCCGCTGCCGCCGCCCCCGTTGCTAGACGCAGCTATGCTGGCTGTGCTCTCCTCCGGATCCTCGACGCGAATCTCGAACTTCGTCGTCTCCTCTGCGCTGCCGTTTGACTGTGTGACGGCTGACGGCGCTGTTGTTGTCGTCGTCGTCCACGCAGCACCTCCTGTGGTCGTGCTGATGGCGGCAACCGGCGTATTTGTTGTGGCCGTTTGCCGCAGTGTGGTCTCCGCTGTGCGTGTAGTAGTTGTTAACACCGAATGTGGTGATGGTGCCGATGCGGCTGCTGACGCGACTGACGCTGCCGACGTTACCGCAGGCGCTGTCTTGTCACCCTTGATGTGTGCTGTTTTACCCTTCTCATTGGCAGACGACAATTTGCCGTCCATATCGATGAGCGCGTTCAACAAATGTTTGCGTGAACGTTCCAATGCTCTGCCATTCTGATCGTCGCACGTCTGTATGAGTAGCAGCAGCAGGCTAAGCACCTGCCGGTTATGTTCCGCCTGTTGCATCACATTCTTTAGGTGCAATGCCTCCGATTCGTTGAGGCCACCGAAGAGTTTGTTGGCGATCCGTTGCAAACCGCTACTGGAGGGCAATGAATCCTGCGGCAGATTGTATGTGTGGAAGAGTTCTTGCCATGAATCGAATTCGGCCGATTGCTGCGTGGCAGTTGGATGGCGTGTCGTCTCTTCTGCGGAACCCAAGCGGGTGTATGGTTCGCTGCTGCGCAGTGTTGTGCGTTGTACGTCAGATGCAAGTGCACTTAGGTGGCCGCGCAGCGTTGTGGGTGGGACTAGTGTTGTGGTTTCCCTGTTGCCGAAACGTAATGAACTATCGGTGGTGGTGGTGGTGCGTGCTTCCTTCATGAGCCCGTCATTGATTGTGAGCGGATCGAGGAAGTCGGTCTGCGAGATGTGATTCCAAGGATTTTCAGTTGGCCTATGTTCCGTCTCGACAAAGGCGGAGTTGAGTTTGCCATTGTTTAGCTTCAAATTATTGCGCTGCATAACGAATGACTGCGTCTGTTCGCTGTGAAGGAATTCGTCATGTTCGCTCGAGTCACCAAAAGGTGGCGCCAAGTCGGCTGAAAATTGTTGCCTTAATTTTTGGCCGCGCGCATCACCCGAGCGCGGACGGTATGTGGTCGTATCGGGCGCATCGGTGGTGCTGAAGAAATCATTCGAAGTCGTGGAAAAATCGAAATTGCTGTTAATTTCGGCGGCGATGCTTGAAGCTGTGGCCGGAGTTTCGGTAACTGATGGCGGCTGCGTCGGCAGATAGGTGGCCGCGGTGCCGGAGTGGAAAAGTGATCTATCGGTGCTGGTGATGGGCTCAAAATTTGGCTTGCCGCTAACCACTGTAGGCTCGGTTGGCCTCACTGATTCCAGTTGTGCACGGAATGTTTTGGGGTCTTCCAAGTAGCTGGAGATGGCTTCCGAAAAGACATGTGCGATTTTACGTGAATCAGGCTCATCTGTTAGGTCACGAATGGTTGCACCGGTGGTACCTATTTGTGGGAATAATGTGAATTTATCATTCGCACCGCTAGCAGAGTTCTTACCGCCATGGCTGGCGTCTGTTCCATGCCTATCTTCGGCACCCTGCAAGCCGAAAAGATTCGAGTACTGATTGACAGTACGTTCGCTTAGTAGACTGGCGAATATATCACCCGATTTCGTGCTTGCAACTGGGGTGGCTGCGGTTGTCGTGTCAGCTGCTTTTTCGATTCCACCAATGGTTTGAGCTGAGGCATTTGTTGTGCCATCCACGTTTGCGACATTACCTGGGGCTGCCTTTTTCTCAGCTGATGTGCTCACCGCGTTGCTTGATGCTGCATTCTGTTCACCTGCGAAGTACTTGGCCAGTGAGACTAATGCATCAGGTCCCGAGGATGGCGGTATGTCCAAACCTTCGCGTGCTTGTCCTTGGAATTTCGATTGGTCAGCATCATCGAACTTCGTTTTCAGCATATTAATAGTTTTGATCATTTCCTGGACATTGCGTGTGACCGCATCATTGTCATTTGCGATTGTTTGGGGTGCAGAAAGGAAATCGTCACCACCCGCATTTTGCGTAGCTATCGGACGGCCAGAATTGCGCGGCAAGTATGTGGGTCCAGTGGGCGCCGCCGTTGTTGAGGTTGTAATAAGGTCTACTGAGTCGGGACGCTTTCTTGAGCGCTGCACTGGCAATTCCGCCTCGATTGAGCTCTTTGACGAAACCGAAGCTTTGTCTTTTTCATCTGATGAACCCAGATTACTCCGCATGCCAATTATAAGCGGACGAAGCGTTGTGATAGGCGTTGAAGTTGTGGTGGTGTCTTGTGTGCTTTGTCTTCGCTTAGTAGTAGCCGATGAATCGGTGCCGGACTTATATCGATTTGGATTCGGTGTGGAGGCTACAATGTTCGAACCAGCAACGGGTGAACCCTTGATGTAAAATCCTTTACCTTCGGTGGTCTTCGACTTAGCCACAGTTGGCACTGTTGGCGTGTAGAAAGGTGTGCTACGAGTTGTATCCAATCGACGTGCCGTCGAATATGTTCCCGCTGAGTGGTATGGCGTGGTGCTTTGTAAACGTGCTTCCGCAAAGCGTGTCGACTGTTTTGGTTCATTCGAGTCTGTGTCTGATTCAGCTTTGATTGAAGTGCCAGCGCGTGATTTGGCGCGACCCTCCACCGGAGTGACTTGCCGCAATGGCTTCTCAAGCAGTGAGGGTTTTTTGGTGAACTCGCGACTCTCAATGCTCACATCTCTGGACTCTGCCGAGCTAATTTTTGGCTTTGTTTCCTCGCGATAGCGTTGTTGGCCACGTTTAAAATCGCGCGCACGTTCACTAGACTCTTTTTGATAAGCGTATCCACTACGTGTAGACGGGGAGCGTTCGCTGTTGTTATCCGCGTCGCCATTTTTACTGCCACTATTGCCACTTCGATTGCCCTTGCCTTTACCATTTCCATTTGCCTTACCACTTCCATTTCCATTCTCATTAGCGTTGCTGTTACCATTTTTATTGCCATCCACATTGTTACTCGCACCGCTACGACGTCCATCCACATAGGTGCCACTACGTCCATTATTCCTCACGCGCGACTCCGCTGACTTTGTTTCCACAGCGTCGACATTTGCCTTCTC